TCATTGCTATGTCTATACAAATTTCTTTTTCCCACTCAGCAACTACATTACATCTAATTCGCCAAATTTCATTGAGAAAGCTACTCTCTACAAGTGCTATATAACTACCAAGTGCAAGGTTTACAATCTTCTTAGATAGCTTTAAGTCTAACAACTCTGCTACCGCATTGTTGGAAACAATAATTATAAATCTGTATAATTAATTATATATATATATATTAATATAAATAGATTAAAATTAGAGTTAAAGTTAAGAAATTAGTAATTAAAAAAGGTTTAGTACAGTCATACCTCTATATAATCACCCTCTCTAATCATATCATATAAAAACCTCTCTTTATCACATTTTGTACTCAAGAACAAATCACTATTAAACTTAAGAAAAACTATCTCCATATAAGCACAACCTCTTTATAAGCACATTTTTTAAAAAGTTCTTAAATAAAAAATTGTGTAATTATATAAAGAATTGACTGTGTATATTAAATTTTGCAAAAAATTTTTTTTATTACTATTTCAAAATACTTAAATAATTAATTGGTTTGGATTTTAAACTAATTAAATATTTGAATATTCACAGAAAACAGCTATAAAAATGCTATATAAAAAAATCCTTAAAATAAAAAATAGATTAAAAATATTATATACTGTATATAGTAAGAAAATTACTACATATCACTAGTAGTGATTATCATCAGTCCTAAGATTTGTTAAAGTTAGAGTTAAGAATTAGAGAACTATTATTTTTTTTTTATAATATAATATAGAGCAAATACAAGGTCCCAATTTCCGTTCTTGTAAGGTTTTTGGAGGTTCTGAACATTTTTACTTAGAGTACCCGATCCCGTTTACTTAGTACATTTTTGAGATATGGTGATGATCACCAATGGTGATAAATAGCAAACTTCATATAGTAATATATAAATATTACTAGTTAAAAGCAAAAAAAAAAACCAATACCACGAAAAAAAAAAATAGTAGCCCAAAATTGAATATTAATTATACGTATAGATAGTTGAATTGAAGGCTTTAAAGCAAGTTTATAACATGTTTAGCTTTTGATATTCTTGGTTAAAGTCTCCAAGTGTGGTTCAATAGAAATAATTTTGGAGCGCATTCTATTACAAGTAAAGATCTTCCTCTTGATAAGCGTCAGTTATAAATTTTTAAAACTGATGATTTAAAAAATTAGATCATGTACGTACGTACGTACTTACCAATTTTAAGACAACCAATAATTTCACAACGTACTTTATTGGCTAATGTGTACATTACAAAGGAGAAAAAAAGCTAATACATTTTAAGCCATTCGTGAGATTTATCATTACCTGTTAACAGGACTTTTATATGAAAGTCAAAATCAATGTTGTCAATGTTATGCAAAGATAATGAGAACGATTAAAAGCCCCAGTCTTATTGTCTTCGAAGTAAGGGATTCGAATATTCTAAATTGATAATACTTGAAAAGTCTCAAGTCTTTTCTTGGTTTAATAAGTGAAAGAGCCCTGAGATACAAAATGAAGAGGAAATTCTTATTATGTGGCACCGATTTTACGCAGGGATAATAACTTAAGATTATACAACATTTTCGTAATTAGCCATATGATGATGCCGATCAGGGCCAAAGGGCAGAAGCGCAAATAGAGATCTTGAGATACGTACTTTGATGCCATTTGATCTGAGATATTTCAGATGCTTTCAAACAATCTTCTTTAGGAATAGTCTGGGTAATTTCATTAACACTTTTTCAGATCAAAGAGGTGAACTCAATGATCGCCGCCTTTTCCTTTGAACATTACCTTGAATATTCAAATGAAATTTTCCCTCGAATTTTTCCTTGAATTTTCCCTTGACCTTTTTTTTTGTGACTTGAACAAATTAACGTATTGATGATGTAAAGTAAAAATTTTTTTTAAAAAAAAAACTTTAGCCTGAGACTAGCAAGCGAGACCAATACTTGATTTATTGAAGCTAAATTTAGAATTAAGGAGATTAGCGATATCGAATGATATCGAATCTAAAGAAATTTCTGACATATGATTCTCATATGAGAATTGTTTCTATCAATTCGGGAATTAGTAACGGAAAATTTTGTTTTTTACGCCGTATTTTCGCACAAAAAAAAAAAAAAATTTTCACCACCTTTTACTTTCTTTACAACTTATTTGATAAATTAGATAATTTTCAAAACCTTGAATTCTCAAGATAAAAAAAAATTTTTGAAAATCGAAAAAAAAAAAAAAAGATTAATAATGTAGTTTCCGAATATGTGGCATAATTGTGAATCAAAATAAGATAAAAGATTGATAATTTAGGAAGTCACATATTAGCATGGGATCCACCTGTCAAACCTATCATTATCGATACATTATAAGGATTTTATTGAAAGTATATTTTACCGTTATTGTAAATCGTATTACAATACCAAATATATTATTAATGTTACTGTATATATCGACATTATTTTATTATATATATATATAAATATAATATACAGTAGTTTGGGTTTTGCTGCGTCGTAATACGTCCGTATTTTTACAGATAAACTAGATAAACTCAGGACAATAACTCAGGGTTATAAACATTAGACCTAAAAATAGCTTACTATACTGTTTCATAACATATGTAGAACGTAAAGAAAACGAAGAATAAACTTAATAAAATAAAAAATGGTAAACCTGGTACGTAACTAGAATAAAGTTTTAAAAGTTACCTAGGTTAGATAAAAATAAGAATTAATATACTAAAACTAGAATAATGAAATTAGTGGTTTCGAGATTAAAGTTGTAACAATTGAATGTTGTCATGCTGTGTTCATTAATTCTTTATTGCGTTTATTATTTTGCACGCTCGTGATAATATTGTATAATATCGTAGTAAGTCAAGACAGCCCAATTTGTATTATAATTATGTAAAAAATTAGATTATCTATTTTAGGCGCGTAAGAGAAAGAAAAAAAGACGAAACTGGTTTTTTTGAAAGTACAAAAAAAATAGAAAAAATAGGAATTATTCTTTGTTCAAAGATGGATATGAAAAGAGGTCCTTGAATGCTTTGAAAATTGACCGTATATATTATTTATATATACTATTTATATATTATCTGTATATTATCGGTATATTATCTGTATATATATTATCTTTTATATTACAGTATTAACTAATATTGAAATTTTATTTTTGGAACAATTTCGTGATAATCTCAATTTGAGATAATGCCAGATCTTTGAATCTATTACGTACGTAGATCATTAATCTGCGTCCTATGTAAAGACAGGAATAGAACTTGGAAGTAATTTTGTGGAGAATTGTTTGATAGAAAGCAATTTGGTTATGGTGACGTTATTACTTTTTGCGCCACGAAGGAAAAATTAAACTAATACTCACAGAAAAAAAAAAATTGATATACATGCGTACATACATATGCATAATACAGTAATATCATTACGTGGTTCAATTTCTAAAGAATCTGATAGGGCACGCGGCTTTATGTAAGGGGGTTATCAGCGGTTCATCATGTTCACCGGATTTTTTTTGCGGCGGTAATTTTTTTTCAACTTCTTTGTTTACGAACTTTGGGGAGCCGAGGGAAAATTCGGGGAAATCCAGAAATTAACTTGTTTATTTGGTTCCGTTTCTTCGAGAAACTAAATGTGGCTCAGTTAATTATCTCAAAAAAAGAACAATTATTAATCAAATTACAATTATCTCTTAGATCAGACGGACAGAATGGGCTAGATTATTGATATTTTTAGAAGGTATGTGAATATAGGTTTCTAATGAGTGTTAATGAGTGTTAAAGAGTGTGGTGCTACCGTATAAACACTTTTTATGCGACCAAAGATAGATAAGCGATTTACCCTGACAAATATTCACTTATATGCGACATTAAACATCAGGAGAAAAACTTTGATAGAAAATGATTGGTCATGTATAACATAGAAGGCGAATTAAGTAACCAGATGTTCGCGACCAAGTTAATATGTGCATTAAAATTAAATTTGATTATATGCGTGCGTTAAAAGAGAATTGATTGTTCAGTTCGGAATAAATTTCCCAATAAAAATTGTTCAACGGTAATTCAATAAATTTTTTGGGGGCATAATAAATTTAAAATTTAAAATTATTCTTATCCTAGAAAGGCACTCCCAAAGGACAAAGAATTGAATACTTTTTTAATCAATATATTTCTTAGCATATTGATATTTTAATTTTTGATGATCAATCGTATAGCATTGGAATCACACGTTTGTGTGATCTTGTACATCACAACCATTATTAGTGAAATTTTACTTGTCTCTAATATACTAGATCATAGTTCGGCTAGTTGTTGATTTTGGTTAATTAAATCTTGCTTTTCGAGAGTCGGACAATTTTATTCACTCATAACAATTTATTAATAAATATTTTATACATAAACTTTTTTTTACTGTACAAATCAATAGAATGAATAACTAGGAATAACCCCTGTAAATTGTTGTTTACGATAATTGGGACGGGAAAACTGATTATTGGGACGGGAAAACTAATAATACATATGTTTACGTGAACTCAAGCTCGATCGTCGACAAAAATACATTATTGTAATATCAGATAATAATCCGTGAACTCCGACACTACATATATTATGATTAATGATTAATAAACTAACTATTATCAGATATATGCTATCATTTCAAAAAAGTTTGGATTGGAAAATTTTGTTTGTTTCAAAGTTTTTTTATTTTATTTTTTATTTATTAATACACTTTTAATTTAATTTTTGTTATATAAATAGCGGGAATAAAAATCACTTTCTACTTTGTTTTGTTCTAAGCTTTTATCTACGATAAAGTAAAAAATATATTTCAAAAAAAAAAAACAATATATCGAGAAAAAAAAAACAGTATTTAAGGATAAAAAAAAAACAAATTTAAGGATAAAAAATTTAAGTCGAAACCCAAAAAAAAAAAAATCAAAAACAAAAAAAACAAAAAATTATTTATATTTAAAAAAAATATAATGACAACTTCAAATTTCTCTATCGAAGACTTGGCCAATTCTTTAATCGGAAGACTTGACCGTCGAAGAATATTTCCTCCTTATTACAATAACCCAGAAGGTTTCGTATCGCCTACAACTTCAATTACCAACAGTTCGTGTAGACGACCAAGACGTCCGCCAAATGCGTTTTTGTTATGCAGAAAGAATGTGCACCAAGAAGCTAAACGAAGAGGGTCTTGCAATATGAGAGTTATTAGTAAGGTAACAGGAATTCTTTGGCGAAACGCATCACTGGAAGAAAAGGAAGTTTATGAGAGACTGGTACTGTATTTATGTTATATTTATGTTTATGAATTTGGAATTTATTTTTGGTTTCTTTACTAAACAGTTTACTAAACAATTTACTAAACAATTTACTGAACAAAATAAAATTTTTTTTTTTTTTATCGTTATAGGCGGATGTGGTTAACGAAATTCATGTTCAGCGTCATAATGTATTATATCGACAGTATCAACAGCAGGATGTACTTGGAGATGTTTTACCATTATCACAACCAGCAACATCATGTATATCTACACCTTTAAGACCGATGGCTTACAAACCATATCAAATCCCTTCTCCCCCATTTTATCATGGTAACTTGGAAAAGTCTTGGCAAGTTCCTTCTTCTACGGCTAATTATAATTCTTCCTACAATAAACCTGCTCAGGTCCAGGTCCCTTCCCCTCCCATGACCAATCATCATCCGGATAATAATCCTGCACAATTGAACAATAATAATAATTTCGGCGGGTTACAGTCCTTTGATGATAATGCAATAACTGAATTACCTGCCTTCACTCAAGATCAAAATCAATTATTAACTTATTATTTTGATCTTTTAGCTCCTCAACAACAATAATTAAAATTTTAAAGCAAGGTGTTGATTAGTGAAACATAGCAAATCATAGACTATATTTTATATATTTTATTTGAAAATCTTTTTCCCTTTACCCTTTGTCTATATTACTTTTCTTTGTATTTACTCAATGTAAAAAGCAAATAAAAATACATATTCATTCATAAGATAAACTTCTAATTATTATATCGTGATAAGCTCTAAGTTTTCAATTGTAATATGCTTTCTGTCTTTCTTTTTTCAAAAGATAAAGTTTCAATTGTAATATGCATTTTTTTTGTTTCAAAGAATAAAGATAAGTTTTCTATCATAATAATTATTAATTTTTCGGAGTTTCCGGAGTTTCTATAAATTGTTGGAATTAAGAATTAAAAACAATATCGATTACATTCAACTCTTATACTGTACATCGAGGCCCCGTACATATTTAGCCACTAATCGATCAAGCATGTGTGATTGGTCAATTTGAATTATTTTAATTACGTATTTTCATATAATGCGTGAATTGTTAGATAATTATGGGTAAAAATCTTGTCATAAAAACCATTCACTCATGCACTCATACCAGGTGTAAAAGAAGATAGCAAGACGCATTAATATACTAATATACTAATATTGCTTTTTTTTTCTTTTTTTACAAAAAATATATATTATGAATTATATTATATACAGTATATCAAACATTGCAATTTCTAAAGATTCTAATTGGAACCGGAAAATTTATCTGTTTTTTTTCATGTGGTTAAAAAATAAAAGCATGTTATATATAGAAAAAATACCTACAGAAGCTTAATTATGGAGTTAGCAAGAAATATTCCGTTTTTTTACCTTTTTTTAGATCGTCTAAAATCTTGGTAGTTTCTAAATTGATTACTAATTGTCAATTGATTTATAATTTAAAAGTCATGTGATGAATATAAATACTGAAGATCCCCTTTTTAGTACTCGTGATAAAACTATATTTGTATTCCAATAACGGAAAGTTGTTTTTGTGTTACATAGTTAAATTAAGCATCTTGTCATATTGAATGTGAACCGGGTGCATAGTCTGTTTATTTTGATCTATTTCAGGAAAATATGGTTTCCGGAATGAACTCTTTTTGGGTCAAGAATCATTATTTCCTTTGTTCTTAAATAATGCTATGATCTGCACACGTAAGTTAGTAACCGCCTCGCGCTAATTTTATCACGTGAATTCCATCGTTCGTGTCGTTTGTCTGACTGATCTATCACTTCGGAATCATATAAACCATTTTAAAAACTCTTGTTATAGTAAGCACAACCTTCCGAAGTAACATTACAATCACGTGTGAAAATATATCTAAACTAGTATATACCGGCTAGAGATGCGATCCGAATATCCGCAAGTTCTACTTATATTATTGTAATAAAAAATTATTTATAAACTGATATATAGAATGAATTTCAGGTATCTGATAAAATTTAATAAATTTAAGTATGCAAACGGATGTCGGACCATACATATCTCCATATATCGGCATTAAGGAGAATGCCCTTATTTCACGTGATTTAATCTAAGTTATAAAAGTTATGATGGCGCATGTTATTATTATGTATAACAGCACAGTGAATGAGTTCGTTCTAGATCATTCCTTAAAAATTAGGCATTTTAATTAATTCTGCAAATAATAGCAAGTCATAGGACCATTAAATCTATTATTTGGCTAACTTACGTAATAAAAGTTCCCACATAATTGTAAAAATAATCGCGTGATTGGTAAATGAAATAAAATAAATTCTATTATTATTTATTTGTAAATTTCTAATTAATTATATTAATTAATATATTACTTATATTATTTATATTATTTGTGTATGTTTAACAGTATTTAACAGTATCTGACTGTATTTAACTGTATTTAATTGCATATAAGTGTATTTAATTGTATCAAGAGGTCTTTTTTTGGATATGAACGTTAATTAAACGTTTCATTTGAATACCACTGCATGACCCTAACTCCGAAAGTCCGATTATATAACCTCCAAGGGCTGTTGGGGACGTTTGGAATTATCTTGGTTGTTTCTTTATCGGTCTGTTTTTTTATCTGATAGGTGAAAATGTTTACTGTTTTGGTTGCACTCAATGAGTCATCAGGTTATCGTTCCTATTCTTATCAAATTGATTCAGAAACCATTGTAATCACATGCATGTATATTCTTTAAAAAAAACACATTGCAATCAGGTTCCTTCGCGACAATTGACTATAAATGTCAAAATACGCTACTATCAAATCCGATTGTCCTTGTGAAACGTTACTATATATGTGTATGAAAGTTTAAGTTTAGCAAAAATAATTTAAACGGCCATAAATTTCGGACTTATATGACGGAATGATAAATTACTTCTTATTTTACCTAGGAATGTTGGTGAAACGCGTCGTAAATATGATTCAGAAACCATAGGATCGTAAGAAATTAATAGATAATCTGCTGATCACAAATTGATGATCTTATCCATTATTGCATTATATCTGATATGTACACCGCATAACGCATATATGTTAAAACAATATTTACGGATCAATCTCCTAGCGTCTAGGCATAGTTAGATGATGTAAAGAATTTGTTCTTTTAAAGTATCTCACGTGAATAAACATTTAATTCATATTTGTCATATTGATCTTTTACAAGCTAATAATGAAATGAAACTAAAGTATCAGAGTTCAATTGAAAAAAAAATTGGAGATACTTCAGTCAGGTATATTTTCATTCATCTCGGGTTTGATCGGAAAATTAAGCAATTAGTCTTAAACTTTCCTTATATTATTATTACATTATTCTAATTAAAACAAGCAAAGGAAGAACTAATATTAAAAAAGTTGTAATGTGATCAAAAATTAATCAAAAAAAAGCATTTCAATTAATCCGAATCTTGAAGAATCAGATAATCAACTTTAACAATTAGAATGAATTCCAACAAAAGTTTTCATTATTGTCATAAATGGGCACATTCACTTCTTCATTAACGATATATATGTTGGAAGATACAAAGAAATCACAGACTTATAAATAAAATCTAGATGCCAATCGCCCAACTTAGAAATTTGCCGTACTGCTACTCTCTGGTAAAGTTTCAGGCTTTTCCTTTTTTAGTCTATTCTCCTTTGTAACAAAAAAAAAAAACATTGCAAGACGGGCATGCATATAGCACCGAATCGAATGATAAATAGATCTTTTGATGCATCAAATTTTCGATCTATTTAGGTCGCAATACTCCGATATTCCCAATTCTCCGATGTTTCTAAATTTGATCATAAAAAACATATGATATGTATTTCGCGTTTGATGTCACCCGCGACAATGTTGGTGAGCTTGAATTTGTTGTAAAAAGATGAGTCAATTTATATACCTAGAAAGTAAACCATAGCATATTATTATATACAAGTCACTCTCGTTAAAAATCATTATATCGAGAGATTTATATATTGACCTTGAGTTTAACTTCACTATATCGAGAGCCCTATAAAGAGAGCGACTTGTAGTTGCAAAATGTCAAACACGATTTCTCGCGACGCACTGGGCCGATTTCAACAATTTTACCATAAAAAACAGTCTACAAATTTTGCTTGAAACTAAGAGATGTCTATGTCACAACATTAAAATTAATCATGCTGATTTTTAACTGCAGATCACTCTTGAGTGAAGTTATGTCACGTAATCGGTGGTTGTAATATCTAAATGATGATAGAAAAAGAATTTATTTTATTTTTTAAATTTATTCAAATGAACAAAAATTGCAAATGCCAAAAAATTCAGATAAAAAAGGTACGAAAACATAAATGGTCCGATAAGAACGGTACCGTACAAATGATAGGGACGAAATCACAAAGAATAGTGGTTAGCTATTGTTTAAAAAAGAAATTAGCAAGTTCAATTCATCAACTACAAAATCAAAGTGTTTAGAATCAAACAAGTTGATTATATAGGGCAAAAATGGCACTGATGGCAAAGAACAAAAGGTTTGTTGATAACCCCATTTTTTATCGTGTAATCAATTTAAAAAAAAAAACGAGCTTTTAACAAAAAAAGACTTGTCTAAAAATGAATGCCAATCTTTTATAGTTTCCATAAGTTGATCTTTATCAAAATATTTCTTCGATAACAGTAATACAGTATATATGATTAACTCAAGGCTGTCCTACGTAAAATAAGAATTATAATGTTTTTACTCACCGCCATCCATTTAGTCTACCAATTTTATAATCGCTCGTTTCAAGATGCTATCAGAAGCTCTATCAAAAATACTTCCCACAAAGCAGAGGTCAACATGTAAATTTGTCTCGATTATTTGCGCCGTATTGTAATGTATAATACAATTAATGAATCAGTCAAAGATTAAATCGTGCTATGAACAATCTAGGATAATTCTTCGCCTTACATTTGTCGACATAAAAGTTATTGTAAATATACGTCCTAAAGCATCATCGCAAACTCCATATACGTAATATCTAAAAGGACTCATTATAATTGTTAGGTAAAATCTGAAATTTTAATTTCGCGCGAGGCCAGTTTCCTCCGTCAATTAAAATTTTAGACGAAATGACGAATGTCGATGAAACTATCGAATTGTCAAAAGGTGGCGAAACTAGCAAAGGTTGCAAAGCTAGTAAAAGATGACGAAACCAGAAAAAAAAAAGATAATAAATATGTACGGTTTCCGTTTAATTTATACTCATTTAATGTTTTTTTCGGTAGAAGGAGGTATGATACTATCTTCCGATATTTCCGATCGGTTAAATCATACCCGAGTACCGGTTCATATTTAACTCAATACGGTATGATTTACATAGATACTCAGGTTTGTTTTTGTCCGAATTACCGATCGGAAATGTAGCAACATGTAATGTGTTTTTATATTCTCTAAAGTTATAAACTATTACTTTATAAAAGTTCCAAACCTCATTTTAAAAAATGCTTACTAATTATAGATTGCGGATTATCCGATTTTAGGTTACACCATTTGTCATTACGGAGATTTGAGT